ACTTAGAGGAGTCTAATAAAAGTATACAAATCAAATAATTTTTGTAATTAAAATACAATTTTCTATTTAAATAAATCATGAAAATTGATCTAAAATTAAATAATAAAAATAGAAATTTAATTAAAAAATCATAAAGTTTTGCCTAAGTGCATGAAATTTTGTCTGAAGTGTTTCTCTGACCTTAGGAAATCTTTAATAATTTTTTCATAAATATAAATTTTATTTTGGACAATTAAATAAATTAACTTTTGAAAATCCCTATTTCTAAATTTAAATAATCATCTAAATTAAATCAAATTTTGAGAGGTCCACATATCGTCCTCTAACATTTTAATAATCTCATGGATATAACAATTTAAACCCTCAAAGTCATTTGAGTTGTGTTTAAAGAGTTATGAAGTGAAGTCCCCCAAGGGCAAGATAGTCATTTTGGACTTTGGCGCCTTAATCAAAATTTAGGGTTAATCAGGGATAAATGGGTAACTTTGATCCTAATAAACATATTTAGATGATAGTCATTATAAGGTAGAAACTCACCCACCACCTTTACACAACATCAACAAATAATAATCTCCCCAAATCTTCTTGACTTGGAAGTCAACTAATATCAAAAGTTTCTTAAGTGAGAGGCTAAGCTAAAAGGATGATAATTTACTTTTCTTAAGCCTAAAATTGATGATAATGTGATCTTTAAATGAAAATATATGTCACTTGAACTAAAATCTTAACCTTCACCAAATTCCCCATAAAGAGCTTGGTACCTCAGCTCAATTGATTTGATTTAGACAATAATTGGGTTGATAATCAATATCTTTAAACACTCCAAGTCCAACTTTACTTGTGAACATCACAATCTTAAATAACTCAAACTTGCCTTAGGGGCATTCACTCACATAATTCTTAAATGAAACATTAATTGATTAATCGAGTACCCTATCCTTGGGATAATTAAATTGTTAAGCTTCAATGAGCAATGGGGTAGCCACACTCTAAACTCGGATGATTATTGGAACATTATAATAAGTTCATAAATGAACTCAAAATAATTCAAGAGATCTTCAAAATTGTTCAGAGTCATATCCCGAGCACTTTGGAATCTTTTGGATGTTTTGAAGGACAAATTGAACTTATCGTATCTTGTCCTAAAATCTAAAATCATCTACATCTATCAGGATCTTCTGAGCCCCAACTAAATCATAACTTGGGGTTTGGTAGTTAAACCTTCATCTACTATTGCAATTTAATTTTTCTTGCAATATTATATACATATCTTATAAGTACTGACCTTTCAGGTGGTGGAACGAGAAGACTCGCAAGGTACACTTTTACAATTTACAGTACCATCTTTTGTTGTACTTTCCACACTGTATTTTTATACTTACAAAACTTGTATGTTAAACAACAATGACACCCTGCAGGAAAACCAAAACTGCTAGGATAACCACAAAACCAAAACCAAAACCAAAACTAAAATCAACCAAGATAAAATTTATCGCCACAACATTTAAAATATAAGACAACTTAAAATTTAATCGCAAACATCACAAAATAACAATTGCAACTAAATTAAGACGTCTCTAACAGATGATCGGGAATCCCTCGGAGGAGGTAACGGACGGTTGCTAACGAGACTTCCTACGGTCTAAATGAAAGTATGGAACTCATTAAGTTAAGTTTAGTAAATTCATTTGGACATAGTGATGCTGGAACGAAGGAACCGTAGGATCCTAACCGGTGACGCTTTAATCAACTTTTATATGCCCTCATAAAATATAAAGAACTTCAACCATAGGGCCACCTGATTTGATATTATAACTTGACACACTAGATAACTCAAACTCGTCGCAGTAGTAGCTTGGAGCTAGCATGGTGGGCAGCCCAACCATCTTCAACAGCAAAACCTGCCTACATCAGCTAAACCAATTTCATTCCTTAGAATTAAACAACCAAACCATAGGGTAGCTTAGGAAGTCACCGAGGTTATCTTCTGGATCCATGACATTCCCTAGTTCTTCCTCCTTTAGATTCAAAAAACAAAATGTTCCAAATTTGAATCATTCCCCTTTCACATCTCTTTCTCCAATCTCGTTGAAAAGTCCTATCCTTTTGACCTCTTTGAAGATAATATTTACTGATTTTTATCGAGAGTTTTCTTAGGTAACTTCGATTATCTAAGATGTAATTAATTATAGGAGCTTGCCCTTATAGGAAGCTTGTCCGAACCTAAATTAATATAAACCATATTTAATTCTTTGTATTAAATAGGGGAACTTGTCGGCAAATAAAAATGGTTTCACAGACCAAACGAATGTCATATATTTCTTAGTTTATTTGATCGAGCCTCATCATCAAGTCTTGTGTTATCCTTCGGAATAGATACATGATTTGAGGTATAGCATTCTTTCATTTAAATTATGAAAAATATGGGGTCAGTTTGATTTCATATTCTTATAAACTATATATACATATGTAAATCAAACATCCTTTTGAAGTGGGCGACGAGATTTCGATTCCGGCGGCCGACAGCTTCCAACAGACAACTCTTCCAACCAAAAATAGTGCCGACAACAATATAAAAGTAGACTTTTCTTGACCTTTCAATAGGTCGATTATTATTCTGAATTCTTTATTAGTTGTTGTATGTGTTTCTTCTTGGGTGATCTTGCTGGAAAAAAATCAGCCCCGCGCTATGGTATAATGGTGATGATGGTCTGACAACTGTTTATAGATGTTGGACAACCCTGGTAAGGCTAGGTAGTCCCTCTTCCGCGTTGGACAATAAGTGTTGCTCATCCTCTTGCAAATCGATGAAGGAATCATTAACCTGCAGCACCATCAAAAAAGCCCATAATGAATTCCAAATCAATGAAATGAATGACTAAGTTAAACATTCAAACTTTTCATGAAGTAAATGTTTCACCTTTGCACGACCAAGATTTTTGAATGCCTCATGAATCTTCACTGCTGTCCAACCATAATTTGTTGGCCACCTTATCATGCGAGGCCTGACCTTCGGAACATGAGGAGCAAACACAGAGGTGTGCTCGTAAAACCAAAGCTGTGGATGTCTCATATCAGAAAGAGGAATGTAAAAACAAATAAAACTGCATCTGAATGAATATTATTTTTTGTAAACAATATATTACTTACAGTTAAAATAAAAACAAAACCCTAGATGTATCCCAACGACTGATTTCATCTTAATTTGGCAGCGACGATGCTAACTTGATCGATGATAAAGTCACAAATTGCAGAGGGCTAGTTATAAGTAGAAAATAACTATACATCTTCACAAAAGAAAAGAAGTCCCACAGGCACGCTAAAATTGCTCGTGGGAAAAAAAAATTCGTTAGTAGAAACTTAAAAAATAACTGTTCAAAGTGAGTGGAAGAACCTCCTTCAAAAAACTTCATCAGTTGGTCCTTTATTTGTCTGACATCCACACCAGACGAGGGGGTTTTCCTCCATACAACTGCCTCCCCTTTGTCTGGCATACCTAATATCAACGCCAAGTGGTCGGGATGGAATTTTACTTCTTTCCCACCCGTTTTGAAGACCCTCCTTTCATTATACCAATATCACAGAATGTGTAATGCCAACACATTGTCCTGTGAGTATGGAGGCATATCAAAGAAGTGGAAGACATGCATTTCTTTCAACAAAATCACTGTCTCCTCTGATACGAGATGTATAATAGAATCCAAAACACCCTTTACTGCAGATGGACGATGCCTACAGTTGAATTTCCTTGTGTTCATCAACTTACAAATGAAAAAAAATTAAAATAAGTTTCATAAAAGACATTTTGAAAGAAATACAACACATATAATACCATGAAAGCCTTGAGTTACACCCAAAATCAAAGCAACACAACTCATATACAATTATATCACACAATAGTTAAAATAACACCAATTATATAATGCCTAAAGCAAAGCCAAACAACACCTATACATATAACACACACTAACACAAAAATAACACCATCAATATTCAACTGTGTTATTCAGTTATTAATGAGTTTCTATGCATATAACACCAAGACAACCTTCAGTAACACCAAATATAAAAGCAATACACCACATATACGAATTCTTGATACATTAGCAAAGGATAATTGGTGTCATGCACTCAATAACATCCATTTACACAATCATAACACACCCTAAACAACCACTATGTAGTTCACTGTCGTTTGACACATCAGTAACACCTAAAAGCAAAGCCCTAAACCACATATACAACTTTAATACACCATATGAATAAAACATATGTATTATTAAACAAAATAACACAACAATAACCCAACAATAACATAACAACAACACATCATTAAGAAAGAAAACACTACATTCACGTGGTTATAACACGGAGATATCACATCTATAATACATCAATCACAAATGGATAACACAATAGTAACACAACCAAATAAAAAATGAACGCTAACTCATCAATAATACAAGGGATACTCATCAATAACACAAGAGATACAATACCTCGATGATTTTGGAGCACTCCTCTTCTCTTCAGTTTGCTTGCGACCCTTACCCCTCATTTTTTGCAAATATGAACCACTAAACTTCAAACGAAGAAATGACTTTCCTGCTCTGCTGGAACAATGACCACCGTCTTCCGAACGAACAATGTCAATCCTCTGGAAACCCTAGCTCAGAAATCTAAGAGACGAAACGTCGAAACAGGGAAGCTGCTCTTGAAACGGTGCTCTTTAGACTCTTTGCGCTCTTTTTTAACACAAAAAACACTTTTTCATAACGTTTTTTGGTAAAGATCGGGCCGAACCGCAAACTTTTTTTAAAACCGGAATTTCATATGGGCCTATCATGCCGCATGCCATCATATTATTCGTATCCAAATGTTTTTTCAGTCACTACACCGACCAAGTAAGCGCTCCAAAAATCGTGTGCGGTCCATGCTGGGCCCCATTCTCCCACGCAAAAGATCGCGGCACAAGCACCAACGAATGGTGCCCAATTAATCTGCTATCCTCCTCACACGGTAATACGGAGAGTTGAGTCGAGAGCGGGAGAGGGAGAGGGAGCGGGAGAATGTCTCTACATCAGGTGGCGTCAATGGCGGCGGTCTCCGGTGGTCACTGCGAATTAGCTATCATGTCATCTGTCCCTCTCCGCGCCACGTCATTTTCTTTCCATTTTCCCGTCTTCTGTCCCTCCACTTGCTCCCCCCTTTCAAGATCTCGCGACTGTCACCCCCTTCCCCTCTATCATCAGAATCCTCGGAGGAGAAACCCGGAAAAGCAGAAGGTTGCAAGCTATCAATGATTTCTTGACCTTTTTTTTATTTTTGAAAAATAAAAAGGGGTTTCTTACATCAGCAATCGTTAGCAGGTTCTGAGGGTGGACTGCGCGGCAGGCCAGCCATTGAAGGTGATCATATTAGGCGCCCCGGCGTCGGGGAAAGGAACTCAGTGCCGAATGATCGTCGAGAAGGCAAGTTTCTTTTTTCTACCATTTTGGAATGAAGCTCTATTAGAAGTTGCACATTGGATAAGCGAAGTGGCTTGGACAGGCTACGAATGTGCTCTTGTTGGAAGAAGGGATTTTGATCGTCATTTCCTGAAAAGTTTTTTCTCTTAGAATTTTTGAACGGAAATTAAAAAACAGAAAGTGAAGAGAAAATTTGTTTTTTCTTATTGATTCAATTCAAATTGCCTTTACATATAGGAGTCCCTCCTCTTTAGATAAGAAAACTAACTAAATAAGTTTAAATAATTTCCTATTACATTGCAAAACTAATTAAGCAAGATTTGGTACAAATATCACATGATATAAATAAGGAAGGAGAATAATATCTGTATAAGAGGAAAGACAATAAATTATAATTTGAATTAAATCTTTCAACACTCCCCCTCAAGTTGGCATAAATATATCTTTTAGAGCCAGCTTGCGCATTAAATCGTCGAATTGTTTTTTGTGAAGACCCTTTGTTAGAATATCCGCTGCTTGGTCGTTAGAGAGAACATACACCATGCAAATATTTCCTCTATCAATTTTTCTTTAATGATGTGTTTGTCTATTTCTACGTGCTTTGTTCTATCATGAAGGACAGGGAAGGACAGGATTACAGGATTGTGGGCGATGATAATGACAGACTTATTATCACAGTACACATTTATTGGTGGTGGATTATGAATTTTTAACTCATGGAGAATTATTCTAATCCATAGAACTTCACATATCCCATGGGCCACAAATCTGAATTCAGCTTTAACGCTGTTTCTTGCCACGACACTTTGTTTCTTGCTCCTCTATGTTACTAAGTTTTCTCCTAGAAAAATGCAGTACCCTGAGGTTGATCTTCTATCTGTAACACTCCCAGCCCAATCTACATCTGTAAATGCTTCTACCTATAAGTGCTCATTTTTCTTGAACAGTAGCCCTCTTCCGGGTGTTCCTTTCATATATCTAAGGATCCGATAAACAACCTCCAAGTGATGAGTATTTGGAGAATGCATAAACTGACTTACCATACTAACAACAAATACTATATCAGGACGAGTGTGTGACAAGTAGATTAGTCTTCCAACCAGTCTCTGATATTGTTCTTTATTGACACTATCTATTTTATTTGTCACTTGTAACATTTTATTTGGTTCAATTGGGGTTTCAGCTGTTTTGCACCCAAGAATTCCGGTTTCACTGAGTAAGTCAGGTACATACTTTCGCTGATTAATAAAGATCCCCTACTTAGATCTGACAAACTCAATACCAAGAAAGTATTTTACATCTCCCAGTTTTTAATCTCGAATTCTGTGGCCAATCTTTCTTTTAATTTCTCAATTTCCCTAGCATCATCTCCTGTAAGGATAATATCATCTACATAGACAATGAGTATAGCGAGTTTACCAGTTTTTGAATGTTTGTAGAATATAGTATGATCAGCTTGACTCTGAGTGTATCCATATTTTGTCATCACCTTTCAAAACCTCTCAAACCAGGCGCGAGGAGATTGCTTGAGCCCATACAAGGATTTCTTTAATCTGCACACTTTGTCTTCTCCAAACTTCTTCTCAAATCCTGGTGGAAGATCCATGAATACCTCATCCTCTAATTCTCCGTTTAGAAAAGCATTTTTAACGTCGAGCCGATGCAAGGGCCAATTACGGTTTGCTGCTATGGACAGTAAAAATCGAATAGAATTTCGAATAGAATTGATCTTGACCACCAGAGCGAATGTCTCCTGATAGTCAATTCCATGAGTTTGAGTGAATTCTTTTGCTACTAATCTTGCTTTATATCTTTCGATACTCCCATCAGCTTTGACTTTAGTAGTGAAGACCCATTTACACACAACAGTAGACTTGTTTCTTGGTAGAGTGACACTTTCCCAGCTCCCATTTTTTAAAAGAGCATCAATCTCTTCCTTTACTGTTATTCTCCAATTTGGATTACTAAGAGCTTCCTGTATTGTTTTGGGTTCAGACAGGTTAGAAATTTTTGACAAAAAAACTTGATATTCGTGTGAGATTTTTTTGTAGGATAGGTATTTCGAAATGGGATATCTGGTAGTACAAGAACATGTTTCTTTTTTAAAGGCTATAGGAAGATCCAGATTCATAACCTCTGAATCTCGAGCTTCTGTTCGTGAAAAAAAAAAGACCAGGATCAAAAATTACCTGTGTTTCTTGAGGATCATCATTCGGTTCTTCAGATTGGGAGGGAGCTAAAGATTCAGTTTGAACTTTTCTTCTTTTATGGAGCCTCTTACTGGAATAAACAAGAGGTTCTACTGTTGTATTATGTGGTATTTCTCCCCATGTATTAGACAAGATACTTTCAGGCGTCTCTTGACTAGAATTCTTCTTATTTTCAACAACTATTTCTGGTTCTTTGTTTTCACAGACCTCAGGTGTACTTGATGTTACAACAATTTTTGGTAATAGATTAGAAACTTGCCAAAAATCATCTTCTCCATCTGTATTATACTCTCAATGAAGTGGATTTTTGTGAAAAAAAGGAATTTTTTCCATGAAGATCACATCCATACTAATGTAAATTTTTTTGGTGCAGGATTAAAACATTTGTAACCCTTTTTGTTTTGGGCATATCCAAGAAAAATGCATTTTTCAGAATTTAGATCCAATTTTGTTCGACAATTATTCGGAATATGAACGAAATATGAGCATCCAAAGATTTTTAAAGGAATATTTGAAGACATTTGTAGACTTAAAAAACTATTTTTCAGTTTGTTTAGAGGAGTTGCATATTGTAAAACTTGAGTTGGCATTCGGATTATTAGATATGATGCTGTTAAAACAGCGTCCCCCCATAAATATTTAGAAAAGTTCATTGAAAACATGATAGCCCGAGCAAGCTCAAGTAAATATCTATTTTTTCTTTCAGCAATTCCATTTTGTTGTGGAGTGTCACGACAAGTAGATTGATGAATTATGT